AGGCAAGGGGGTTCTGTGTGGGAAGTGTGGCCCAATTCTATTGTTGGTGGGGTTCAGAATGCTTTTTGATTGTAAGTGAACTATAAATCCCATCAACTATAATTCTCAAATGGCAAAATCAACCCCGCAACACCCCACCAGCATTCAAATTTGTGCCAAATTTGGTCCAGTGATTGAAAATACATCCTGGATATCAGATATTTACATGACGATTCAGAACAGTAGCAAAATTACAGTTGTGAAGAAGCAACGAATATACTGTTATGGTTGGGGGTCTCCACAACATGAGGAACTGTGTTAAGGGTTCGCGGTATTCGGAATTCAACAAAATGTATGCATATTTGCTCACCTTTTTCACAGAAGGTGCAACGTTTGCATCGCGAATAGGTGTGCACGTCATTGTAGGAACCCTCCTCGCACGGTTTACAGCTGGTGTCAGTGGAGGCCGTGCAACGCTTCTCCAATCCTGAACCTAGGAGATGTTTTGGATGGCGGAGACCCACAAATCATATCAATACTTTCCATCCTTTGATTTCACCTCTTGTGCCAACTTCTCCATATAATAAATCACGCAGAGGTGAACCTGCACCTCCTCAAACCATAGAGTCCTACTACTGGGAGAGACCCTAATGTCCACCTAGTCTATTCCACCAAGGAGGAAGACACCACCAAAGTCTTCTCAACAGTCAGTCACCCGGCACTTACGGGCATCAAAGTGCCTACCTAACACCAACGTAGGCTTTTCCCCACCTCCACTATTACTATTTCCAGTAGACTCAGAATGGGAAAGACATGATATTTCACAGAACACTCATTGCCCTGGAACGTGATGGGGCCTTCTAGATAGGAAAGATTCCAAAATCAGGAACATATGAAGAGCCTCCATGTTCAGAGGAAGTATTACATGAAGCGTCAAATGAATTAACTTAGCAGGAGTGAAAAGAAAAGGTAGATATTGGTAGATATAGATAGTTGAGTGGATGGGTAGATGGAGAGATAGATGAAGAGATGGTTGGATGGATAGATAGTTGGGTGGATAGATAGATGGGTGGGTAGATGGAGAGATGGATGAGTGGATGGACAGATAGGTAGATATAGATAGATGGATGGTTGGGTAGATGGATGAAGAGATGGGTAGATAGAGGGGTGGATGGATGGAGGGATGAGTGCATGGATTGATAGAGATAGGTAGATACAGATAGGTGGATAGATGGAGAGATGGGTCGATGGATGAGTGGATGGACAGATAGGTAGGTAGGTATAGATAGATGGATGGATGGGTAGATGAAGAGATGGGCGGATGGATAGATGAGTGGATGGATCGATGGATGAGTGGTTGGATTGATAGACAGATAGAGATAGTTGGATGGATGGAGAGATGGGTCAATGGATGAGTGGATTGATAGATAGGTAGATATAGATAGATGAATGGCTGGGTAGATGGATGAAGAGATGGGTGGATGGATAGAAGGGTGGATAGATGGGTGGATGGAGAGATGAATTAGTGGATGGATTGATAGATAGGTAGATATAGATAGATGGATGGATGGAGAGATCGGTCGATGGATGAGTGGATGGACAGATAGGTAGATATAGATAACTGGATGGATGGGTAGATGGACGAAGAGATGGGTGGATGGATAGATGGGTGGATGGAGGGAGGGATGAGTGGATGGATTGATAGAGATAGGTAGATATAGATAGGTGGATAGATGGAGAGATGGGTTGATGGATGAGTGGATGTACAGATAGGTAGGTAGATATAGATGGATGGATGGATGGATGGATGGATGGATGGATGGGTAGATGGATGAAGAGATGGGTGGATAGATAGACGGATGGATACATGAATGGATGGATCGATGGATGAGTGGATGGATTGATAGATAGATATAGATAGTTGGATGGATGGAGAGATGGGTGAATGGATGAGTGGATGGATAGATAGGTAGATAGATATAGATAGATGGCTGGTTAGATGGATGAGCGTATGAACTGATAGAGAGAGATATAGATAGGTGAATGGATGGGTAGATGAACAGATTGTAGATATGGGTGGGTGGATAGATGGATGAGTGGATGGATGGATTGATAGACAGGTAGATATAGATAGGTGGATGGGTGGATAGATGGATGAGTGGATGGACTGATAGAGAGATAGGTAGATATAGATAGATGGATGGATGGATGGAGAGATGGGTCGATGGATGAGTGGATGGACAGATAGGTAGACATAGATGGATGGATGGATGGATGGATGGGAAAATGGATGAAGAGAAAGGTGGATGGATATATGGGTGGATGGAGAGATGAATAAGTGGGTGGATTGATAGATAGGTAGATATAGATAGGTGGATGAGTGGATGGATTGATAGAGAGAGAGATAGATAGATAGATAGATAGATAGATAGATAGATAGATAGATAGATAGATAGATAGATAGATAGATGGATGAAAAGATGGGTGGATGGAGAGATGGATGAGTGGATGGACAGATAGGTAGATATAGATAGATGAATGGCTGGGTAGATGGATGAAGAGATGGGTGGATGGAAAGATGGATGAGTGGATGGATTGATAGACAGGTAGATAGATATAGATAGGTGGATGGATGGAGAGATGGGTCGATGAATGAGTGGAGGGATTGATAGGTAAATGGGTGGAGAGATGGTTGGGTGGATAGATGGACCGATGGAGAGATGGGTGGAGATATAGGTGATATAGGTGGATGAGTGGATAGCTAGATGGACAGATAGGTGGATATAGATGGGTGGATGGAGAGATGGATGAGTGGATGGACAGGTGGATATAGATGGGTGGGTGGATGGACAGATGGGTGGAGAGATGGATACGTGGATGGACTGATAGTTTGAGAATGAAGACTAGGATCCTGGAAGACCAGGATTCAAATCCCTGCTCAGCTATGAAAAGCTAATGGAATCGTTCTGGAAAGCAAGGGCAATTGTCTCAGAACTTGCTCAGGTGGTCACCATAAGTCCGACCTGACTTGAAGGGACATCTCCGTAAGAAGAAATTCAAGCGGGTAGAAAAAGGGGTGAAGTACCCAAGAGGAAGGGGTATGTGACAACTCTTATTTCACCCAAATCTTATTTCATACTCCTATGAGTTCTTAGCCCACCACCCTGAACGCTTGGAAGGTGCCTCCTGAACCTTCCCATTAGGCATCACTCACCTGGCGGGCATTTCCTGCAGCACTTCCTGCTCTCTAAGGGATATTCGTCCTCCAAACACTGTAATCCCCAAGCGATGGGGACCAGCCAGGCAAAGCCAAGCAACCTCAGTGTAGGCTTCATGCTCAGCAGCCGCTCACCTTGAGTAGCTCGAGCGGAGATGGCGCGGTGTTTACGTTGGTTGAGGATGAATGGCAAAGGCAAGGAAGTTCCCAAGGGCCTCCGCTTCCTGCTTCTGAGTCAGCTCAGAAGTAGGAAAGGCAAAATCAGCACTTTGGGTAAAAAGCTGCCAATTTATGGCTCTCTCAACAGGTAAATGAACACATTGCTAGGAATCTATCGGTCAAACTTGGCCACGGAGCCACCAAAAACCCTCCTTCCAAGGACATTTCGGGCTACAGCGGTCACCACGAACCTTGCCAATGTCTTCCTCAAACACCATACTGCCCACCACAATTACAATTTCATCCTATATGTTGTTTTCCCTCCAGAATGGACATCCCAGGGTTCCTTTCTCTCTCAATTGGTGTGGAATTTGCATTACCCCGTTCACTGCCTCTCCCTTAACCCTTTCCTACGGCACACAGCAAACCAGATCTGATCACCAGCTGAACAAGAGGTTTGGGGGGAATTTACCTTGCTATGGATGATGGGATTGGCAGTATGTACCTTCACTCACCTCCTGTGACCACTGCGACCCCCACGAACGACGGGCCTGGACTAAAATTACCACACAGACCCCCCCCCCCCAATGATCTACTTTACATCCTGGTGCAGTTTGGGAGAAGGATAGACCACGAATGATGGGATCTGCAGTACCTTCACTTATTTCCTGAGACCACTGCATCCCCCATGAATGACAGACCTGGGCAAACAGACTCCCCCCCATGACCCACTTTACATCCTTTTGCAATTTGGGGAAGGATGGACCACAGGTAATGGGATCTGCAGTACCTTCGCTCACTTCCTGAGACCACTGCGACTCTCACGAATGACAGACCTGGACCAAATTTGTCACACAGACCCCCCTCCCCATGACCCACTTTACATCATTTTGCAGTTTGGAGGAAGATGGACCACAGATAATGGGATCTGCAGTACCTTCACTCACTTCCTGAGACCACTGTGACCCTCACGAATAATGGGCCCGGACCAAACTTGCCATATAGAACCCCCATGACCCACTTTACATGCTGGTGCAGTTTGGGGGAAGACGGAGCACAGATAATGGGATCTGCAGTACCTTTACTCACTTCCTGAGACCACTGCGACCCTCACGAATAACGGGCCTGGACCAAACTTGCCACACAGACCCCCCATGACCCACTTTACTTCCTTTTGCAGTTTGGGGGAGGATGGACCACAGATAATGGGATCTGCAGTACCTTCCCTCACTTCCTGAGACCACTGCGACTCTCATGAATGACAGACCTGGACCAAACTTGCCACACAGACCCCACATGACCCACTTAACATCCTGGTGCAGTATGGGGGAGGATGGACCACAGATAATGGGATCTGCAGTACCTTCCCTCACTTACTGAGACCATTGCGACTCTCATGAATGACGTGCCTGGACCAAACTTATCACACAGACCTCCCATGACCCACTTTACATCCTTTTGCAGTTTGGGGGAGGATGGACCACAGATAATGGGATCTGCAGTACCTTCCCTCTCTTTCTGAGACCACTGCAACCCCCACGAATGACGGACACGAACCCAGATTTTGAAGAAAGATGCATGGAGACAAAGCGACCCAAATAAGATGGTCAAGAGGCGAGAATAAATCAGAAACAAAGCAGTTAGATCCGATTCCAGGCAGTCTGTATTCTAACATGAAACGTGGCCATCTTTCCGATCATCAACCTAGGATGGAAAAGGCAACCTCGATTGAGGTCGCAACCCTTCCTTGCGAATACAAGACCATTACTTAAAACCCCGTTGACAAACCAGGGATAATACAAGCGCCTTTTGGGAGTGAAATGAAAGCGTGAGAGACCTGAGGGCAGCCTTCCGAGGGGGGAAACTGAGGGAACGGAGCCGGATGGTATCCCGTTGGAAATCAAAGGGAAGAGAGCTGCCTCTCCCATTGCTCTTTCTGTAAATATAGGTGGACGGCTTCCTTTTGAATATAAAGTCTAGAATACCACACTGGATACACACAGAACACAGATATAGCAGCAAACGGTCAACTGTCTTTTCTCTCTCTCTCTCTCGGTGTCATATATATTTTTTTGGAAAGCAAGAAGGTGCATTCGAGAGCCCAGGGGCCGCCGGGTGCCTAGAACTCCTCGTGGACGTTCCGGGCATAGTCCATGAGTTTGCTGCCGGTGAAGTACTCGCTGTATTTCAAGATCTCCTCCTGCTCCAAGTGATGGTTCTGGTTCTCGTCCGCCACTGCAATCATCTGCTTGGCTTCGTTCAAGGCGTTGTACTCGTTCATGGGGTCCATATATTCCTGGGGGGAGGCAAAGCTTGGTTAGATCAGGGACACTCAAGGCAGGAGGACATCTAGCAGACACAACTGGACAGAGAGGTCAACATGGAAGGAAGCCTCCCTCTACTACTGGAAATGTCTGGATGGATAGATGAGTGAATGGAGAGATGGGTAAGTGGATAGATTGATAGACAGATGGGTAGACAAAGATAGGTGGATGGATGGAGAGATGGGACGATGAATGAGTGGATGGACAGATAGGTCGATATAGATAGGTGGATGGGTAGATGGATGAAGAGATGGGTGAATGGAGAGAAGGATAAGTGGATGGATTGATAGATAAGTGGATGATTGGAGAGATGGGTGGATGGATAGAGGGTTGGATGGAGATATGGGTTGATGGATGAGTAGATGGACAGATAAGTAATAAATGGATGGGTAGATGGATGGAGATATGGATGTATGTATGTATGGATGGATGGAGATATGGGTGGATGGATAGAGGGATGGATGGAGATATGGGTTGATGGATGAGTGGATGGACAGATAGCTAGATATAGATGGATGGGTAGATAGATGGAGATATGGGTGGATGGATGGATGGAAAGATGGGTGGATAGATAGAGGGATGGCTGGAGATATGCGTTGATGGATGAGTGGATGGGGGGATGGATGGATAGAGGGATGGATGGAGATATGGGTTGCTTGATGGATGAGTGGATGCACAGATAGGTAGATATAGCTTGATGGGTAGATGAATGGAGATATGGGTGGATGGATGGATAGATGGATGGAGATATGGGTGGAGAGATAGATGGAGATAGATGGATGGATAGAGGGATGGATGGGTAGATGGATGGATGGATGAATGGATGGACAGCTAGGTAATAGATGGATGGGTAGATGGATGGATGGATGGATGGAGAGATGGGTGGATGGATAGAGGGATGGATGGAGATATGGTTTGGTGGATGAGTGGATGGACAGATAGGTAATAGATGGATGGGTAGATGGATGGAGAGATGGGTGGATGGATAGAGGGATGGATGGAGATATGGGTTGGTGGATGAGTGGATGGACAGATAGGTAATAGATGGATGGAGATATGGATAGATGGATGGATGGAAATATGGGTGGATGGATGGATGGAGAGGCGGGTGGATAGAGAGAGGGATGGATGGAGATATGGGTATCTTGATGGATTAGTGGATGGACAGATAGGTATATATGGATGGGTAGATGGATGGAGAGATGGGTGGATATCTGGATTGATGTAGATATGGGAAGATAGAGGAGTGTATGGATGAATGGACAGATAGGTAGATATAGATAGGTTGGTGGGTGGAGAGATGGGTGGATGGAGAGGCAGATGGGCGGAGAGGTAGATATAGATAGGTGGATGGATGAATAGATGGGTGGATGGGTAGATGGATGAGTGGATGGATGGACAGGTACATATAGATAGGTGGATGGATGGAGAGATGGGTAGATGGATGGATGGATGGACAGATAGGTACGTAGATATAGACAAATTCAAAATGATCTTGACAGATTAGGGAGATGATTGGCCAAACCATATGAAGTTCAACATGGACCAATGCAAGGTACTCCACTTAGGCAGAATGGGGGACGAGGCCTGGCTTGATAGCAGTACATGTGAAAAAGATCTTGGAGTTCTTGTGGGGAGGAAGGTGAACATGAAACAAGAATGTCTCATGCGCCTGCTAAAAGAGCCAATGGGATTTTGGCCGGTGTTGGAGGCTCCTTCTTTGGAGGTTTTTGAGCAGAGGCTGGATGGCCATCTGCTGGGGATGCTTTGAGTGTGATTTTCGAGGTCCCTTCCAACTCTAGGATCCTGCCCCTAAGACACTCACTTCCAGTTCTTCCATGGTGACGATGCCATTGTGGTCTGCGTCAATCACTTCCTCAAACTCCTTCTTCCGGTCTTTCACCCAGTCGTCGTCGATATCCTGGGCCTGTTGGTTCTCCACCGTGCCGACAGGCAGAGAGATGAACTCGGAGAGCGTCAGCTTCTTATCGCCATCTTGATCTGCCGAGAGGAAGTACAGATTTAGACTCAAATCCTCCCCACCCACAGAAGTCGAGCATCGCGACCGAAGCACGTCCTGTTTGTCTCTTTCCGTTTCCAGGAAACTGTCAAGCTTGGTTGGGAAGACTCTTCTTGAGGTGCTCCACCAATTGCTTGGACTACAATGCCCACAATTTCCAAACACCTGTCATGTCATAGTTGGGGCTTATGGTTGCTATTATCCAACGCATCAATGAGGCACCAGGTTGCCTATTCTCAACGTTAAGAGTTCAATTTTCAAAATAAGATACCGCATATACTCAAGTATAAGCCGACCTGAATATCAGCCGAGGCAACTCATTTTGCCACAAAAAAATGGGAAAACGTATTGACTTGAGTATAACCCGAGGGTGAAAAATGCAGCATCGACTAGTTAATTTCAAGATAAAAATCACATTAATTGAGGCATCTGTAGGTGAAATGTTTTGGAATATTTACATAAAACCATAATTTAAGATAAGACTGTCCAACTCTGATTAAACCATTATTCTAACTCCTTCAATGTAAATGTGCTTAATTATCCTCCCAATAATAAAAGAGTAAAATAATAAATGTAATAATAATAATAAAATAATAAAGTAAAATAATAAATGTAATAATAATAATATAAATTGAAATAAAATAATAAATGTAATGATGACAATTATAGACAAGAAAATAAATGTAGTAACAATAATAGAGGGAAAAATTAATGTAATAATAATATAGTAAAATAATAAATGTAATAACTATAAAGTAAAATAATGAATGTAATAATATAAATTGAAATAAAATAATAAATGTAATGATGACAAGAATAGACAAGAAAATAAATGTAAAACAATAATAGAGGAAATATTAATGTAATAATAATATAGTAAAATAATGAATGTAATAATAATATAAAATGAAATAAAATAATAAATGTAATGATGACAAGAATAGACAAGAAAATACATGTAAAACAATAATAGAGGAAATATTAATGTAATAATAATATAGTAAAATAATAAATGTAATAACAATAAAGTAAAATAATAAATGTAATAAAAGTAATAATGCAGTAACATAATAAATGTAATAATAATAAATATAGTAAAATAATAAATGTAATAATAACAATAAAGTAAAATAATAAAAGTAATAAAAGAACAGAGTAAAATAATACAGAAACCACGCAGGGAATAATACCATATGTGCAAATCACAGGCGGTCACGAGGGGAAATTGTAATAATAAAAAATAATAATAGGGTAACATAATAAATTTAATAATAATAATAGATAAAAATAATGAATGTAATAATAATAAATGCAGTACAATAATCAATAAAATATAGAAAAATAATGTAAATGTAATAATAATAAAGTAAAATAATAACAGTGATAAAAATAATAGAGTAAAATAATCCAGTAAATAAAGTCTTTGTAATAATAAATATAATGAGAGGGTAAAATAATAAATGTAATAATAATAATAAATAGATAAAAATAATGAATGTCATAATCACAATAAATGCAGTACAATAATCAATGTAATATAATAATAGAAAAATAATGTAAATGTAATAATAACAATAAAGTAAAATAATAAAAGTAATAAAAATAACAGAGTAAAATAACAGAGTAAATAAAGTAACTGTAATAATAAAAATAATAATAAGGTAACATAATAAATTTAATAATAGTAATAGATAAAAATAATTAATGTAATAATAATAATAATGCAGTACAATAATCAATGTAATATAATAATATAAAAATAATGTAAATGTAATAATAACAATAAAGTAAAATAATAGTGATAAAATAATAGTGTAAAATAATGTAAATATAATAATAATAGAGTAAATGGATAAATTTAATAACAATAATAAATAGAGAAAATAATAAATGTAATAACAATAATAAAGTAAAATAATAAAAGTAATAAAAATAATAGAGTAAAATAATAAATGTAACAACAACAATAATAAATACAGAGTAAAATAATAAATAACTTTGACTCACGGATAAACCAAGTGGGACTTTTTCAGCCTTAAAAAGGGCTGAAAAACTCAGCTTATACTCAAGTATATATGGTAAGTAATTCTATTTTTTGTCAGACCTAAAGGTCATTGTGAAGATGAGGACAGGAAAAAGAATGACGTCTGTCATCCTGAACTTACTGGAAGAAATGAAAGCGAAACTAGGACTATTTCTCCATATCATGGGAAAATTACAAAATTAACTGATTTAATTATTGACGTAGGTTGGCACAATTTATTTTCTGTTTTGCAAAGAGTCTGAGGCTTTAGCAAAGAAAAGGGGATCGGAGGGAGAAGATCTGGCAACACAAAATAAGCAATGAGGAGCCTGGGCTTGGGCTCCATCTTCTGGCAATGGAAAGCCTAGCATTGCACAGCACGGTCTCAGGATTGTTGGCACTTATCCTTCACTAGATGCCATCAAGGCTAAGATTTGGCCAAGGATACCTAATAGGTTTCCATGGCAAGAAGGGATTCGAACTCTGGTCTGTGGACTCATACTTCCAACACGTAAACCACTGCTCGATCCAAAATTTTGTACGGCTCGGACGTTTCACAATTCCCTCTTGCCCCACAAACGTACCCAGATCCCGAACGATTTCCTTCACCATGAACTTCAGCATCCCTCGGCTGTGCTCTGGGTGAAGGAAAGACAGGAACTCCTCCTCGTTCAGCAAGAGGTCGGCGGGAGGGTTGTCGGCTTGGTACCAGCGGTCTTTCAAGTTGTCAAGAACTTCCTGTGCTACAAATCCAGAGGGATAAACAACAAGGTGTTAAAAAGGCTAAATTCTGATATGTTTATATCAGTAGTTCCCAACCTTTTTTTTTTTTTTTGACCAGAGACCCCTCTCCAACATTAGCACCAAAAAGATTATGAATCAGTTTTTGGTCAACTGTAGATTTAACTTGATTATTCGAGGTGCTGATTCGGAAAATTGCATTGGATAGACCCCATCAGCTGATTCAGAAAATTGCACATCACAGATCAGCTGATTTGGAAAATTGCACATCATAGATCAGCTGATTTGGAAAATTGCACATCATAGATCAGCTGATTTGGAAAATTACATTGGATAGACTACATCAGCTGATTCAGAAAATAACATTGGATACACCACATCAGCTGATTCAGAAAATTGCATTGGATAGACTACATCAGCTGATTCAGAATTTGCACTGGATAGACCACATCAGCTAATTCAGAATTTGCATTGGATAGACCACATCAGCTGATTCAGAAAATTGCATTGGACAGACCACATCAGCTAATTCAGAAAATTGCATTGGGTAGACCACATCAGCTGATTCAGAAAATTGCATTGGACAGACCACATCAGCTAATTCAGAAAATTGCATTGAGTAGACCACATCAGCTAATTCAGAAAATTGCATTGGATAGACCACATCAGCTAATTCAGAATTTGCATTGGATAGACCACATCAGCTGATTCAGAAAATTGCACTGGATAGATCACATCAGCTGATTCAGAATTTACACTGCATAGACCACATCAGCTGATTCAGAATTTGCACTGGATAGACCACATCAGCTAATTCAGAATTTGCATTGGATAGACCACATCAGCTGATTCAGAAAACTGCACTGGATAGACCATATCAGCTGATTTGGAAAATTGCATTGGATAGACCACATCAGTTGATTCAGAAAACTGAATTGATAGACCACATCAGCTGATTCAGAAAATTGAATTGATAAGACCACATCAGCCGATTTGGAAAATTACATTGGATAGACAACATCAGCTGATTCAGAAAAGAACTGATTCAAAGAGATATGACCGAACCGGAAAAGAGAGAGAGAGAGAGAGAGGATGCGTGCGTATGCAGAGAGTCTTCCCGCTCGCTCTCCAAATGAGCATCCACAGAGGAGGGTGTCCAATATGGGAGGGGGACGCCTCACCATCCGACGACGAAGAGCAAATTGGCAGATGGGCCGCTCCGCTCCATATGGCGCAGCATTCCAGGCGCGGCAGTGAAGGCAATGCGGGCGGGTGAGATTAAAAACCCGTATCGAATAAATGTTGACAGCCTCGTTTGCAATCAGGCGGCACAAGATACTCAACGGTACGTTCGGCTTTATCTCGTCCGTTCTCTGGAAACATACCTCAGTGGGTATGTAGAAAGGCCATGTAAACCTTGCAATCCAAAGTGTTTACTTCAACCCAAAGGAAAACCAACATATTCAAACACAATCCCGGGACCGCCACTTACTTTCCTCGTCGATTTTCAACTCCTCGTTGTTTTTAATCTTCTCCGCAATTTCCTTCTCGTTGAATCCTTTGCTGGCCAGGAACTTGATCTTATACTCGTCCCAGGATACGTGACCTGGATGAAAAATATATAGTATTGCAGTTCAGCATCGAATGCAGGGGGAAAAGGAAAGGGACTGAGGCTGTTAGGAATTGTGGGAGTTGCAGTCCAACTTGACCCCTTTTTTTCCTTTCCTCCTTCCTTTCTTTCCCTTCTTTTTCTTTCTCATTCTTTCTCTTACCCTCATACACTTCACTCCCCTTTTCTTCCTCCCTCCTTCCAGTTATCTCTTTTTTCTTTCCCTTTTTTTTCTCTTTCTTTCCTTCCTCTCTTTCCATAATAGCAACCAATCAGCTTCTGCCTCTCTTCCTTAATTTCCCTCCTTTTTCATTCTTCTTCTTTCCTTCCTTGTCCCTACCTTTCCCTTCTTTCTTTCCTTCCTTCCTTCTCCCTATGTTTTCTTTCTTTCCTTCTCCATGCCTTTCCTTTTCTTTTTTCTTTCTTTCCTTCCTTCCTTTCCTTCCCCTCTTTTCATTCCTTCCTTCTTCCAACCTTTCTCTTTTTCTTCCTTCTCCCTACCTTTCCTTTCTTCTTCTTTTCTTTCCTTCTCCCTACCTTTCCTTTCTTTCCTTCCTTCTCCCTTTCCCTCTTTCCTTTCTTTTTCTTTCCTTCCTTCTCCCTGCCTTTCCCCTTTCTTTCTTCCTCCTCCTTTCCTTTCCTTCCTTCTCCCTAACTTTCCCTTCTTTCTTTTTTCTTTTTCTTTCCTTCCTTCTCCCTCTTTCTTTCCTTCTCCCTACCTTTTCTTTCTTGCTCTCCTTTCCTCATTTTTTCTTTCTTTCATTCCTTCTCCCTGCCTTTCCTTTCCTTCTTCCAACCTTTCTTTTTCTTCCTTCCTTCCTTCTTCCAACCTTTCTCTTTTTCTTCCTTCCCGCTACTTTTTCTTTCTTTCTTTCCTTCTCCCTGCCTTTCCTTCCCTTCCTTCCTTCTTCCAACCTCTCTCTTTTTAATTCCTTCCTTCTCCCTTCCTTTCCTTTCTTTCTTTCCTTCCTTCTCCCTGCTTTTCCTTTCCTTCCTTCCTTCAACCTTTCTCTTTTTCTTCCTTCCTTCCTTGCCCCTACCTTTCCTTTCTTTCGATCTTTCCTTCCGTCTCCCTACTTTTCCTTTCTTTCTTTCCTTCTCCCTACCTTTCCTTTCTTCTTCCAACCTCTCTTTTTAATTCCTTCCTTCTCCCTGCTTTTCCTTTCCTTCCGTCCTTCAATCTTTCTTTTTTTCTTCCTTCCTTCTCCCTACCTTTCTTTTTTCCTTCTCTGTGCCTTTCCTTTCCTTCTTTTTTCTTCCTTCCTTCCCCCTGCCTTTCCTTTCTTTCCTTCCTTCCTTCTTTCTCCCTGCCTTTCCTTTCTTCTTCCAACCTCTCTTTTTAATTCCTTCCTTCTCCCTGCTTTTCCTTTCCTTCCGTCCTTCAATCTTTCTTTTTTTCTTCCTTCCTTCTCCCTACCTTTCCTTTTTTTTTCCTTCTCTGTGCCTTTCCTTTCCTTCTTTTTTCTTCCTTCCTTCTCCCTACCTTTCCTTTCTTTTTTCCTTCTCTGTGCCTTTCCTTTCCTTCTTTTTTCTTCCTTCCTTCCCCCTGCCTTTCCTTTCTTTCCTTCCTTCCTTCTTTCTCCCTGCCTTTCCTTTCTTCTTCCAACCTCTCTTTTTAATTCCTTCCTTCTCCCTGCTTTTCCTTTCCTTCCGTCCTTCAATCTTTCTTTTTTTCTTCCTTCCTTCTCCCTACCTTTCCTTTATTTTTTCCTTCTCTGTGCCTTTCCTTTCCTTCTTTTTTCTTCCTTCCTTCCCCCTGCCTTTCCTTTCTTTCCTTCCTTCCTTCTTTCTCCCTGCCTTTCCTTTCTTTCTTTCCTCCCTTCTCCCGCTTCCTTTCCTTCCTTCCTTCAACCTTTCTCGTTTTCTTCCTTCCTTCCTTCTCCCCGCCCTTCCTTCCTTCCTTCCTTGGCCCGTGCCTGATCTAATGAATGCATTCAGGCCACCATCCCACCCTGACTCCAGAACAAGGCATTACTGCAATTTAGTAACACAAAAACCAAAGAGAAACAGAAAAATATGGTAACGGTTTGTTTTTAAGGCAACGGACGCATGAGTACAAGGTCTTCCTCTATGGGTCTGGAGTGGAAAACAAAGGAAGCTCTGTAATTCCAGGTCAAATTGTGGTACATTGAACTCATTAATCCTTATCTACATCGAGATTAGGAATTGTGTACTTTTCCAGGCATCATTTCAATTAGGATGTGATATTTGCACATGGTTTTTAAATAATACTTTGCAATGTTGTTGTATGCGGCTTTAGGCAGGAAAGGGATGGACGCCTTGCAGCTTGGAGTCAACTCCGACTTGTAAACACTCTTCCAAGGCTTCTTCAGAGGAGGTTCTCCATATTGATAAGACTGGCCACGTTTCACCACCCAAACAACCCGCAGCTCTATTGTGGCTGTGACTCTCCTTACCATCACCATCGGGATCCACAGCCCGGAAGTGCATCTTGTTTTCTTCCACCGCCTCCTGGAAATGCTCTTCCGTCTTCTCCATGATCCAGCGCTGCATCTCCTTGGCACTGATCTTTTTGTCCCGGTTGATGTCGACTCTGCAAATACATTTTTTTCATTGTTTACAGTATTTATATTCCGCCCTTCTCAGGACAGATCGCAAAACACATACCACATACACTCGAGTATAAGCCGACCCGAATACAAGCCAAGCCACCTAATTTTAGCGGAAAAAACTGGGAAAACAGTTGACCCGAGTCTAAGCTGTGCGAGGGAAATGCAGCAGCTACTGGTAAATTTCAAAATAGAAATAGATACCAATACAGTTACATTAATTGAGGCATCAGTAGGTTAAATGGTTTTGAATTTTTACATAAAACTGTAAGATTTAATGTAATAATGTAATAATAATAATAACAGAGTAAATGTCATAATGAAATGTCGTAATGTTTTTGATTTTTTATTGTTGCATCACTTATATACRTTGGTTTTGTATTTTAGGTTATTTTATTTTTTGATTTTCTGTTGTGTTYTTTTATTGTTGCGTCGCTTATAKACATTGKTTTTGTATTTTAGRTTATTTTATTTTTTGATTTTCTGTTGTGTTTTTTTATTGTTGCGTCGCTTAYATASATTGTTTTTGTATTTTAGGTTATTTTATTTTTTGATTTTCTGTTGTGTTTTTTTATTGTTGCGTCGCTTATAGACATTGTTTTTGTATTTTAGGTTATTTTATTTTTTGATTTTCTGTTGTGTTTTTTTATTGTTGCGTCACTTATAGACATTGGTTTTGTATTTTAGGTTATTTTATTTTTTGGGTTTCTGTTGTGTTCTTGTGTTATATTGTGTATATTGTATTGATGGGCGTGRCCTCATGTAAGCCGCCCTGAGTCCCCTTGGGGAGATTGTGGTGAGGTATAAATAAAGTGATTATTATTATTATTATTATTATTATTACTATTATTATTATTATTAAATCTATATAAATAAAAATGTAATGTTCGTTTGTGGGATTAGCATAACTCAAAAACCACTGGATGAATTGACACGAAACCCCTGAACACACACGCATACACAAAACTCCAGCGGAACAGACTTAAAAACGGAAAAAAATACACCATATACATATATAACAGAAAGGAGGAAACCATGAACAAAATCCAGCTCCCAGTATTCAAAAACTCTAAAATTATAAGTAAATAAATACTCAAACACAGGAGAACTCCAGACAAGAAACAATCAGTGACAGCTAATCACCTCTCAACAAAGGATTTCCCCAGGCAGTAACAAGCCACACCTAAAAACTGTCAGGGCATTAAATGCTAATCAAGGCGGCCAATTGAAACATTCACACCTAGCTCCAACAGACAAGAGTTCTTTCTCCCACCCTGGATAGCAAATAATCAGGGCAGTAAATAAAGAGCAACACTCAAAAAGAAGGGGAATTCCAGACAAGAATCAATCAGGACCAGCTAACACCTCCAAACAAAGGAGTCTCCTAGGCAGCAATCAGTCAGGCTTTGAAGTTGCAAAGCTTTTTTTTGTATTTATATTTGAATTATTGTATGTTTACTTTTAAGCTTTTTTATTGTATTTATATTCGAATTATTATCTCATGTATTGTTGAAGGCTTTCATGGCCGGAATCCCTGGGTTGTTGTAGGTTTTCCGGGCTATATGGCCATGTTCTAGAGGCATTTTCTCCTGACGTTTCGCATGCATCGATGCTTGTAGCATCTGAGGATGCTTGCCATAGATGCAGGCGAAACGTCAGGAGAAAATGCCTCTAGAACATGGCCATATAGCCCGGAAAACCTACAACAATGTATTATCTCATGTTTATTATTGTATGTTTAAATTGATATGTTAATTGTTTAAATTGATATCTTATGATTATTATTATTATATGTGTAATGCAGCATTGTATGCCATGGATTGTAAACCACCCTGAGTCCCCTACTGGGGTGAGAAGGGTGGGGTATAAACGTAGTATAATAATAATAATAATAATAATAATAATAATAATAATAATAATAATACCAAAGAGTTGGAAGAGACCTCATGGGCCATCCAGTCCAACCCCCTGCCAAGAAGCAGGAATGTTGCATTCAAATCACCCCTGACAGATGGCCATCCAGCCTCTGTGTATAATAATAATAATAATAATAATAATAATAAAATCAAGGTGGCCATTGGCAACATTCACACCTGCCCCAAACAGACAAGAGTTCTTTCTCCCACCCTGGATAGCAAATAATCAGGGCAGCAAATAAAGAGCAACACTCCAGACAAGAATCAATCAGGACCAGCTAACACCTCCAAACAAAGGAGTCTCCTGGGCAGCAATCAGTCAGGCTTTGAAGTTGCAAGACCATTCAATTCAAATCAAAGTGGCCAATGGCAACATTCACACCTGCCCCAAACAGACAAGAGTTCTTTCTCCCACTCAGGACATCATTCCACAGATATATCAACCCCACTTGCCTAGTTTCCAACAGGCCTCACAACCTCTGAGGATACCTGCCGTAGATGTGGGCAAAACGTCAGGAGAGAATGCTTCTGGAACGTGGCCAGACATCCCGGAAAACTCTACAACAACTAATGAAAGCCTTCGACAATACACCCTTCTCCTTAGTGGTAAATATCCACTGGTATTCATGCAAGGCTAATCAGTCTTCTCAGTTGTTAGACTGATATACCCAGTTATCTCTCGGAATGGTTAAGAACAAAGATATGGCAACGCACAAAACATATAGCAGACTTCAGAAGTGTTATTTCACTTGCCCAAAAACATATCTACACTCTGATAAAATATATTGGGTTTAAATCATGTTCTCAAGAGACCAAAAAACAAGTAAGTCTTCGTCAATCCGGCCACGAAAGCCAACACAAATGTGGACATGAAAAATGCCTGACCTTTGACCACAACTGTTTCCAGGGTCAGGGCAGCAGCTGGCATAATACTTGTACCCTGCCCTTTGGGTTATGACATAAGTCACTAATCCGCCTTCTAGCGCATTAATCAGCTTTCCAGTTTCATTATTGCTGCCTGCGTATCTAATAAACCTTTTAATTTGCAGACAAGCTGTCGGGAAGACGGTTACTGATCTGACAGCATTAGAGCCTGGCGATGAATTGGGTCCAACTTGGTACAAAGTCGGCCTCCTGTGCTCTTTCCTTGACCCAATTCAGAATGCTCTCACTCACTTTGAGAAAATCACCATCAGCTTCCTCCTGTTTCTCCGCGGCTCGGAGTCCTCGTCAAACTCCTCCATCTCTTTCCCCAGAAAGACCTCCTGGTGGAACTCCTTGTTCAGGTGGCCGTCCATCTCCATCTTGACCCCGTTCAGATGGTCCGGAGGCAGGATCTCGTTCTCGTCCTTGTTGTTGTTGTCGGCTGCCTTCTCTTTCAAGGCGGAGTTGTTGGCGGGCCGAGCGTAGACATCCATGAGCAGGAACACAAAGAGGAGGGATAAATAGATGGAGCCCAAGCTACAGATGAAGGCTCGCTTGGAAACCATGGCTACTCTTCTTCAAAGGGGAAGCAACGTGGGAAACTGGCACAGTGAGGAGGTCACCTAAGAGACAGACCAAGGAAACGGAGATATAATTTTTTAAAAACCCACAGTGAGGCCTTCTCCCACTGAGGTTTACCTCAGAGTGAGGGCTATCGACTGAGGTTTATTCTACCTCACACTGTGAGGCCTTCACCCACTGAGGTTTACCTCAGACTGAGGGCTACCCACTGAAATTTATCCTACCTCACACTGTGAGGCCTTCTCTCACAGACTGAGGTCTACCTCACACTGTGAGGCCTTCACCCACTGAGGTTTACCTCTGACTGAGGGCTACGCACTAAGATTTATCCTACCTCACACTGTGAGGCCTTCTCTCACAGACTGAGGCCTACCTCACATTGTGAGGCCTTCTCCCACTGAGATGTGTCTCAGACTGAGGGTTACCCACTAAGGTTTATCCTACCTCACACTGTGAGGCCTTCTCCCATTGAGGTTTACCTCAGACTGAGGGCTACCCACTAAGGTTTATCCTACCTCACACTGTGAGGCCTTCTCAATGGGTAGCCTTCAGTCTGAGGTAAACCTCAATGGGAGGAGGTTTACCTCAGACTGAAGGCTACCCACTGAGATTTATCCTACCTTACACTGTGAGGCCTTCTCTCGCAGACTGAGGTCTACCTCACACTGTGAGGCCTTCACTCACTGAGGTTTACCTCAGACTGAGGGCTACGCACTAAGATTTATCCTACCTCACACTGTGAGGCCTTCTCTCGCAGACTGAGGCCTACCTCACATTGTGAGGCCTTCTCCCACTGAGGTTTACCTCAGACTGTGGGCTACCCACTAAGGTTTATCCTACCTCACACTGTGAGGCCTTCTCCCATTGAGGTTTACCTCAGACTGAGGGCTACCCACTAAGGTTTATCCTACCTCACACTGTGAGGCCTTCTCAATGGGTAGCCTTCAGTCTGAGGTAAACCTCAATGGGAGGAGGTTTACCTCAGACTGAAGGCTACCCACTGAGATTTATCCTACCTTACACTGTGAGGCCTTCTCTCGCAGACTGAGGCCTATCTCACATTGTGAGGCCTTCTCCCACTGAGGTTTACCTCAGACTGAGGGCTGCCCATTGAGATTTATCCTACCTCACACTGTGAGGCCTTCTCTCGCAGACTGAGGCCTACCTCACATTGTGAGGCCTTCTCCCACTGAGGTTTACCTCAGACTGAGGGCTACCCACTGAGATTTATCCTACCTCACACTGTGAGGCCTTCTCTCGCAGACTAAGGCCTACTCACATTGTGAGGCCTTCTCCCACTGAGGTTTACCTCAGACTGAGGACTACCCACTGAAGTTTATCCTGCCTCACACTGTGAGGCTTTGTCTCGCAGACTAAGGCCTAAGTCACATTGTGAGGCCTTCTCCCACTGAGGTTTACCTCAGACTGAGGGCTACCCACTGAGGTTTATCCTGCCTCACACTGTGAGGCCTTCTCTCGCAGACTGAGGCCTACCTCATATTGTGAGACCTTCTCCCACTGAGGTTTACCTCAGACTGAGGGCTACCCACTGAGGTTTATCCTACCTCACACTGTGAGGCCTTCTCTCGCATACTCTCGCAAAATTGTGGGTCTCCAGTTGTTTTGGTCTACAACTCCTAGAAATCCCAACTGTTACGATTTCTGGAAGTTGAAGGCCTCAACAACTGGGGACCCACGGGTTGAGAACCACTGTTCTAAACCATCAGTAGCATGACTGCAGCCCCTTCCACTGCTTCAGTAGAAAGAGATGAGGTAACTGCAAACTACAAACAAGACATACACTTCAGGCTAGAAAACGACATACTAATAAAACATTATTACACAACAACAATTACATAAAGGAGGTTGGAGAGGTTGCATTCTCCAGCAATTATATTGTAAATTGTAAAGGTTTTCCTTGACGCTAAATCTAGTCATGTCTGACTCTGGGAGGTGGTGCTCATCTCCATTCCCTAAGCTAAAGAGCCGGCATTGTCCATAGACACCTCCAAGGTCATGGGGCCAGCATGACTGCATGGAGCACTGTTACTCTTAGTGGGTAGCCCTCAGTCTGAGGTAAACCTCAGTGGGAAGAGGACTCACAGTGTGAGGTAGGCCTCATTACGAGACTCACAGTGTGAGGTAGGGTAAACCGTGTGATGTAGGGTAAACCTCAGTGGGTGGATAGCCCTCAGTCTGAGAAAAACCTGAGTGGGAGAAGGCTTCACAGTGTGAAGTAGGATAAACCTTAGTGGGTAGCCCTCAGTCTGAGATAAACCTCAGTGGGAGAAGGTCTCACAGTGTGAGGTAGTCCTCAGTCTGCGAGAGAAGGCCTCACAGTGTGAGGTAGGGTAAACAGTGTGAGTAGGGTAAACCTCAGTGGGTGGGTAGCCCTCAGTCTGAGATAAACCTGAGTGGGAGAAGGCCTCACAGTGTGAGGTAGGATAAACCTTAGTGGGTAGCCCTCAGTCTGAGGTAAACCTGAGTGGGAGAAGGCCTCACAGTGTGAGGTAGGATAAACCTTAGTGGGTAGCCCTCAGTCTGAGGTAAACCTGAGTGGGAGAAGGCCTCACAGTGTGAGGTAGGATAAACCTTACTGGTTAGCCCTCAGTCTGAGGTAAACCTCAGTGGGAGAAGGCCTCACAGTGTGAGGTAGGGTAAACCTTAGTGGGTGGGTAGCCCTCAGTCTGAGGTAAACCTGAGTGGGAGAAGGCCTCACAGTGTGAGGTAGGGTAAACCTCAGTGGGTGGGTAGCCCTCAGTCTGAGATAAACCTGAGTGGGAGAAGGCCTCACAGTGTGAGGTAGGGTAAACCTTAGTGGGTGGGTAGCCCTCAGTCTGAGGTAAACCTCAGTGGGAGAAGGCCTCACAGTGTGAGGTAGGGTAAACCTTAGTGGGTGGGTAGCCCTCAGTCTGAGATAAACCTGAGTGGGAGAAGGCCTCACAGTGTGAGGTAGGGTAAACCTTAGTGGGTGGGTAGCCCTCAGTCTGAGGTAAACCTGAGTGGGAGAAGGCCTCACAGTGTGAGGTAGGGTAAACCTCAGTGGGTGGGTAGCCCTCAGTCTGAGATAAACCTGAGTGGGAGAAGGCCTCACAGTGTGAGGTAGGGTAAACCTTAGTGGGAGGGTAGCCCTCAGTCTGAGGTAAACCTCAGTGGGAGAAGGTCTCACAGTGTGAGGTAGGCCTCACAGTGTGAGGTGGGGTAAACAGTGTGAAGTAGGGTAAACCTCAGTGGGTGGGTAGCCCTCAGTCTGAGATAAACCTGAGTGGGAGAAGGCCTCACAGTGTGAGGTAGGGTAAACCTTAGTGGGTGGGTAGCCCTCAGTCTGAGGTAAACCTGAGTGGGAGAAGGCCTCACAGTGTGAGGTAGGGTAAACCTTAGTGGGTGGGTAGCCCTCAGTCTGAGGTAAACCTGAGTGGGAGAAGGCCTCACAGTGTGAGGTAGGGTAAACCTTAGTGGGTGGGTAGCCCTCAGTCTGAGGTAAACCTGAGTGGGAGAAGGCCTCACAGTGTGAGGTAGGGTAAACCTCAGTGGGTGGGTAGCCCTCAGTCTGAGTCTGTGAGAGAAGGCCTCCCAGTGTGAGGTAGGCCTTAGTCTGTGAGAGAAGACCTCCCAGTGTGAGGTAGGCCTTAGTCTGTGAAAGGCCTCACAGTGTGAGGTAGGGTAAACCTCAGTGGGTGGGTAGCCCTCAGTCTGAGATAAACCTGAGTGGGAGAAGGCCTCACAGTGTGAGGTAGGGTAAACCTTAGTGGGAGGGTAGCCCTCAGTCTGAGGTAAACCTCAGTGGGAGAAGGTCTCACAGTGTGAGGTAGGCCTCACAGTGTGAGGTGGGGTAAACAGTGTGAAGTAGGGTAAACCTCAGTGGGTGGGTAGCCCTCAGTCTGAGATAAACCTGAGTGGGAGAAGGCCTCACGGTGTGAGGTAGGCCTCAGTCAGTGAGAAAAGGCTTCACCCGTACCGCCCCCGTACCTCTCCGTCGCGGCTCCACATTCCCACCTCGCTCAAGGCTCTTCCTGAGAGGTTGCAGGGAGACCGACCGGAAATAGGAAGCGCCACTCGGCACTGCCAACCCAATTCCGCGCCCCCGCCTCCTTCATTCGCCCTCCTCGTTGCCTGAAGGCCCGCAGGACACTTCCAATATCTGAGCAGGCACTGCGTTAGCCACCTATATCGTGACGTCAGGCGTGGGGGCCTTAGGCGGGGCAGACATATTTGTTAAGGGCGGGTGATGCCTCCATTGCCATTTTTTCCCCTCTCCTAACCGTGTTAGGGCCAATCTCACCACTCCAAAGGGCTCTGCTCTGTTTAAAAGCGTTGTATAGATTGTTTTAATCTCAAGAGATCCAAACAATAAACCCGGTAAAGCCAGGATTTGACAGGATTCCCTCAGCAAAGATGGCGGAGGCGGTGTCAGGATGCCCTGACCCAAGATGGCGGTAAGAGGAGGAGAGATGGAGTCACGTGACGCAGCTAGGCCCCGCCTCTTCGGGAGGAGAGAGAGCGGCGAAAGGACTCGCGAGGAAGAGGCTCGCCCGCATAGGTTTGTCCCCGCCCGTTTGCCGTAGCCTTCCTTCCTTCACCTCAGGCTGAGGCGAAAAAGGAGAGAGAAGGACTTGGCCCCGCCCATTTGGAACGTTGGGGGAAGGCTGAGCAGGCCGCCTATTGGTCCCTGCCAAAGGGGGAGGAGCCAAGGCTTTGGGAGGCGGAGCTAAGACATAGGACCGCCTCCAGGAGGGCGGGACTAACAGTCCCAAAGGGGGAGGGGCTAAGGAATTAGGGGGAGGAGTCAAAGGAATAGCTTGGCCCTAAAGGGGAGGGGCTAAGGCTTTAGGGGGAGGAGTCAAATTGATAGCTTGGCCCAAAAGGGGAGGGGCTAAGGAATTAGGGGGAGGAGTCAAATTGATAGCTTGGCCCAAAGGGGGAGGGGCTAAGGCTTTAGAGGGAGGAGTCAAAGGGATAGTTTGGCCCTAAAGGGGAGGGGCTAAGGCTTTAGGGGGAGGAGTCAAATTGATAGCTTGGCCCAAAGGGGAGGGGCTAAGGAATTAGGGGGAGGAGTCAAATTGATAGCTTGGCCCTAAAGGGGGAGGGGCTAAGGCTTTAGAGGGAGGAGTCAAAGGGATAGTTTGGCCCTAAAGGGGAGGGGCTAAGGCTTTAGGGGGAGGAGTCAAATTGATAGCTTGGCCCAAAGGGGGAGGGGCTAAGGAATTAGGGGGAGGAGTCAAATTGATAGCTTGGCCCAAAGGGGGAGGGGCTAAGGCTTTAGGGGGAGGAGTCAAATTGATAGCTTGGCCCAAAGGGGGAGGGGCTAAGGCTTTAGGGGGAGGAGTCAAAGTTATAGCTGACCCCCAAAGGGGGAGGGGCTAAGACTTTGGAACTTCCTCAAGGGGTGGAGCTAAGATATTGAGACAAGGGGCGGGGCCAAGGCTTTGGGACCGCCTTAAGAGGGTGGAGCTAAGATATTAAGTCAAGGTACGGAGGTATTAGGACCGCCCCCAAAAGGGGAGGAGTCAAAGTGATAGGTCTGCCCCAAAAGGGGAGGGGCCAAGGATTTGGGCTTCCCTAAAGGGGTGGAGCTATGGTAATAAGGCCAGGGAGACATTAGGACCGCCCCCATAGGGGGAGGGGCCAAGGTTTTGTTACCACCTTGAGGGGGTGGAGCTAAAATATTAAGACAAGGAAAGGTGTCATTGGGACCGCCCCAACGGGGAGGGGTCAAGGCAATAGGTCTGCCCCAAAGGGGAGGAGTCAGGGGTGGAGCTAAGATAATCAGACCAGGGAGACATTAGGACTGCCCCCCAAGGGGGAGGAGCCAAGGCTTTGGGACGGCCTGAAGTGGTGGAGCTAAGATACTAAGTCTTTAGGACCGCCCCAAGGGGGAGGGGCCAGATCAATAGGTCTGCCCGAAAGGCGAGGATGCAGGACATTGGACCGTCCCTGAGGTGGAGCTAAGATCAAAACAAGGGAAAGGGACAATAGGACCGCCCCAAAGAGGGAGGAGCCAAGGGGTGGAGCTAACATTTCCTAAAAGGGGAGGGGCTAAGGCTTTTTTAGGGGGAGGAGTCAAAGTGATAGGTTAGCCCAAAGGGGGAGGAGCTAAGGCTTTCAAACTTCCAAAAGGGGTGGAGCTAAGATATTGAGACAAGGGGCGGGGCCAAGGTTTTGGGACCGCCTTAAGAGGGTGGAGCTAAGATTGTAAGTCAAGGTGAGGAGGCATTAGGACCGCCCCCAAAAGGGGAGGAGTCAAAATAAGAGGTCTGCCCCCAAAAGGGGAGGGGCCAAGGCTTTGGATCTTCCTCAAGGGGTGGAGCTAAGATAAGGGAAGGAGACATAAGGACCGCCCCCCACAAGGGGAGGAGTCAAAGTAAAAGGTTTGCCCAAAGGAGGAGGGGCTAAGGCTTTGGACCGCCCTCAAGGGGTGGAGCTAAGATACTGAGACAAGGGGTGGAGACATTAGGACCGCCCCGAGGGGAGGAGTCAAAGTAAGGGGGAGGGGCTAAGGCTTTGGACCGCCCTCAAGGGGGAGGGGTCAAGACATTAAGTGTTTGGAGTGGAAAGGGGAGGAGCCAAGTCAAATTCCCGCCTCTCGATAGGGAGGAGCCTACGCCATGTGCCGCTCTGGGTGAGGAACGCCGCCATGAAGCTCCTCCGCCTGCTCTGCCGCCACAAGACGGCCCTGGGCCTGGGTGGCCTCTCCCTCTTCGGGGTGGTGCTCCTCTACTTGGCCAAGTGCACCTCGGAAGGTCTGAAGCCCTCCCACGGATGGGGCCTCCCGCACCAGCAGCAACCGCAGGCCGCCCCACAGCGACCGGGAGCAGCCGTGGGTGGCCCTCAGCCTCCGGCCGCCGCCCCAGCCCCAGCCCTTGAGGAAACGGCCTTCCTGGCGGTGCTGGTGGCCAGCGGGCCGAAGTACACCGAGCGGCGCAGCATCATCCGCAGCACCTGGCTCTCGGGGGGCAGCCGGGGCCGCGACGTGTGGGCCCGCTTCGCGGTGGGCACCGGGGGCCTCGCCGGGGAGGAGCTGCACGCCTTGGAGCTGGAGCAGAGCCGCCACCGGGACCTCCTCCTCCTCCCAGAGCTGCGGGACTCCTACGAGAACTTGACCGCCAAGGTGTTGGCTATGTACGTCTGGCTGGACCAGCACCTGGACTTCCGCTTCGTCCTCAAGGCCGACGATGACACCTTCGTCCGCTTGGACGTCCTGCTGGACGAGCTGCGGGGCAAGGATCCGCGGCGGCTCTACTGGGGCTTCTTCTCCGGCCGCGGGCGCGTCAAGTCCGGCGGGAAGTGGAAGGAGAACGCCTGGCTGCTGTGCGACTACTACTTGCCCTACGCCCTCGGGGGCGGCTACGTCCTCTCCGCCGACTTGGTCCGCTATTTACGCCTCAGCCGGGACTTCCTCAACCTATGGCAGAGCGAGGATGTCTCCTTAGGCGCCTGGCTGGCCCCGGTGGACGTCCGGCGGCTGCATGACCCCCGCTTCGACACGGAGTACAAATCCCGAGGGTGCAACAACAAGTACATTGTGACGCACAAGCAGAGCATCGAGGACATGCTGGAGAAGCACCAGACTCTGGCCAAAGAAGGGAAGCTGTGCAAGGAGGAGGTGAAGCTCCGCCTGTCGTACATCTACGACTGGAGCGTGCCCCCTTCGCAGTGCTGCCAGAGGAAAGACGGCATCCCTTGAGACCTTTTGTGAAGGGGTGGGTTGTGCCAGCAGAGAGATGGATGGATATGCTTCATATTGCCATACCCTCCAGACATTTCCCACATGATACATATTGGGTGGGTTGCACGAGCAGAGAGACGGATATGCCTCACGTTGCCATACCCTCCGGACATTTTCCACACTATGTGTTTGGTGGGTTGCACGAGCAGAGACATGCTCAATGTTGCCATACCTTCCGGACATTTCACACACCATATGTCTTGGGTGGGTTGCACGAACAGAGAGACGGATATGCTCCACGTTGCCATACCCTCTGGACATCTCCCACATGATACATATTGGGTGGGTTGCACGAGCAGAGAGAAGAATATACCTCATGTTGCCATACCCTCCGGACATTTCACACACAATTTGTGATGGGTGGGTTGCGCCAACAGAGAGACGGATATGCCTCAGGTTGCCATACCCTCCGGACATTTTCCACACTATGTGTTTGGTGGGTTGCACGAGCAGAGACATGGATATGCTCAACGTTGCCATACCTTCCGGACATTTCACACACCATATGTCTTGGGTGGGTTGCACAAACAGAGAGATGGATATGCTCCACGTTGCCATACCCTCCGGACATTTCCAACACCATACATGTTGAGTTGAGTGGGTTGCACGAGCAGAGAGATGGATATGCTCAATGTTGCCATACCCTCCGGACATTTCCGACACCATACATGTTGAGTGGGTTGCATGAGCAGAGTGATGGATATGTTCGATGTTGCCATACCCTCCGGACATTACTCACACTATACGTCTTGGGTGGGTTGCACAAGCAGAGAGATGGATATGCTCCACGTTGCCATACATTTCACACACAATACGTATTGGCTGGGTTGCATGAGCAGAGATATGGATATGCTCGATATTGCCATACCCTCCGGACATTTCCCGCACAATATGTGTTGGGTGAGTTTCACGAGCAGAGAGACCGACATGCCTCATGTTGCCATACCCTCCGGACATTACTCACACTATACGTCTTGGGTGCGTCACACGAGCAGAGAGACGGATATGCCTCACGTTGCCATACCCTCCGGACATTTCCTGCATAATATGTGTTGGGTGGGTTGCACGAGTAGAGGGACAGATATGCCTCATGTTGCCATAACCTCTGGACATTTCACACACAATATGTGTTGGGTGGGTTGCACGAGCAGAGAGATGGATACGCTCCACGTTGCCATACCCTCTGGACATTACCCACACAATACGTCTTGGGTGCGTTGCACGAGCAGAGAGACGGATATTCTCCACGTTGCCACACCCTCCGGACATTTACCACACAATACGTCTTGGGTGGGTTGCACGAGCAGAGATTTGGATATGCTCCACATGGCCATATCCTCCGGATACTTCACACACAATACATATTGGGTGGGTTGCACCAGCTGAGAGATGGACAGGCCTCAAGTTGCCATACCCTGCGGACGGAGCCTTTGAACTAACTTGACAATACGTGTTGGCCCACATTGTGTCACGGTTACCTCTCAGAGTTCTCCGACTCCGAAGAGAACAAGTTGCGTGTCTGAGAAAGGGAACAAAACATGTTGTGGGGTCGTCAAAAAACCCTAAACAATTGTATAGTTTTCGTAAATAGTTGTGCATACTAATTCTTCACAGATTCAGGAGCTGCTACTATAAGGACATCCCCTTCTTCAGAAGGAGTTTTGGGCAAGGATGTAACCAAATCGGTCCAGGAATGGGCAAACTTCGGCCCTCCAAGTGTTTTGGACTACAACTCCCACAATTCCTAACAGCCGGGAGTTGTCGTCCAAAACATCTGGACACTTATCTGTTTATTATGGTGATTATTTATTTATTCAGTGTCGTACTTGTACTGTATATAATTGGAAAAATAGCGGTAATTCTAAATTATTTGAAGCGCCATCGCTAGTATTGATCAAACGGTACAGTTTTGTTATTTAACGTTCTCCCAAATCTTCTGCATGTATCTCGGGGAAGCTTGTAAACAAAGGACATACCAGACACTCCTCTGAGTCCAAATATCAGCGCTTTCCGGAAATGATTTCTGTTGTCGCTCGTGTTTTTTTGAGGCCGAATCATCTGCAGTCCTTGGATTTTAAGCTTCCGAAGGAAATGCAGTGTGACGGTGGGAAGCTCGTGCAAACACAGTCTTTTTATAGAGAAGCGTGCAATTGTCAGGCCACCTGAGTTGGAAAAATTCCGAGTTTTTGTCCTTTGGAGGAGAATCACCTTAAGCCGGTGGAGCTGTGCAAGGATAGAGCAGCTGACTTCTCCAAAAAGAAGGACACATTTAGATATTTTACACACTAATTCAGCCTTTCTCAACTTGGGGGTCAGGACCCCTGGAGGGGGTCATGAGGGGCTTTCAGAGAGGCAGTGGTCGGGGTCATGCAAATTCCACGCTAATGGAGCGAGTCAGAAACACTGGGATGTCTGTGGTGGAGACATCTAGGATGGAATCCTCCCTGTATGAAAGCCTTCACTTGGGTGGTGGGCTGTGTTGTGCTTGTGGAGGACTCATTGGAGGGAGGGTCTTTGGTGTCTCCTGAGTGATGGAAGCTATAGCTGATTGTGGAAGTGGGAGCTTGTCTGTATAAGCAGACACCCAAGTCACAGACACACATACATATGTTCACTTGATTCTATGATCTTTCAGATGATTCTAAGACAGAATGTGTCCAGAGAAAAGCAACTAAAATGGCCAAAGGTCTGGAAGACAAGAATCCCTCTGAGGAGTGTCTTAAAGAGCTGGATGGATGGATGGATGTCTCAGTGGATGGATGGACGGATGGACAGACATCTCAGTAGATTGATGAATTTCCCACTGGATAGATGGGTGGATGGATGGATAGATGTCACATTAGATGGATGGATGGATGGATGGATGGATGGATGGATGGATTGATCAATGAGAGAGATAGAGAGAGAGAGAGAGAGAGAGATAGATAGATGTCTCAGTGCATGGATGGATGGATAGATAGATGGATACATAGATACATAGATGTCTCAGCGGATGGATGGATGAATAGATGTCTCAGTACATGGATGGATGGATAGATGCCTCAGTGGATGGATGGATGATGATAGATAGATAGATAGATAGATAGATAGATAGATAGATAGATAGATAGACAGATAGACAGATAGACAGATAGACAGATAGATGTCTCAGTGCATGGACAGATGAATAGATGGATGGATAGATAGATGTCTCAGCAGATGGATGGATGGATGGATGGATGGATGGATGGATGGATAGATGTCTCAGTGCATGGATGGATAGACTTACAGATGGATAGATGTCTCAGTGCATGGATTGATGGATAGATGTCTCAGCGGGCAAATGGATGGATGGATGGATGGATGGATGTCTCAGTGCATGGATGGATGGACAGATGTCTTAGCAGATGGGTGGGTGGGTGGGTGGATGGATGGATGGATAGATGATAGATAGATAGGTAGATAGGTAGATAGATTGATAGATAGATAGATAGATAGATAGATAGATAGATAGATAGATAGATGTCTCAGTGCATGGATGGATAGATGTCTCAGCAGATGGATGGATGGATGCATGGATGGACAGACAGACAGACAGATAGATGGATGGAGAAAAGATGCCTGAGAGAAGGGGAAGTTGGTTGTGGTGAGGAACCCTTTCCACTCCCATCAGTCTGGTGCACATCCTTCTGCTCAATGGGGACTCCCCATTACCTCTGCTACAAGATCAGCACTCCGTTTGGTTTCAATAATTCAGCAGGAGATTAAATTTTAATTCCATCCCCGTCAGCGGCCGGGGAGAGCTGGGAGTTCCATTTATTCATTAATCCGAACGTTATTATTGCTTTTAATTAAACAAACACAGCCCTCTCTTTATTGCGGAGGGAGCTGGGGGCCCTTTGCCTGGCGCACCAAACCTGGGTGAATGAAGCCATGTGTAACTTGGATGACAATGTCATTAAAGGGTGGAACAAGAGGAGGAGGGATGGAGAGGCGAGAAAGGCAAGGGGCACAAAGTCCCATTTTTTTCTGCCATGAGTTTGGTTCATCGCAAACTCTTGAGCGCTTTTCTTTTTTTAAAAAAAAATTATTTGCAACTTTAGATCCAGTTTTGGTACCTTGGTTGTATTCCTTTTTGAACAAGGTATAGAAATCTGTACAAGCATGTTGCCAAATGGAATCTTATTTTTAGATGAATGGATGGACGGATGAATGGATGTCTCAGTAGATGAACGGATGACCCAGTAGATGGATGGATGGGTGTCTCAATAGAGAGGTCTCAGTGGATGGATGGGTGTCTCAATAGATAGATAGATAGATAGATAGATAGATAGATAGATAGATAGATAGATATCTAAGTAGATGTATGTATGGATAGATGTCTCAGTAGATGGATGGAGGGATAGATGGATAGATAATTGGATGGATGGATGGATGGATGGATGGATGGATAGATAGATAGATAGATAGATAGATAGAGATAGATAGATAGAGATAGATAGAGATAGATAGATGGATCAGTGGATGGATGAATGGACGGA